ATTGAAATGTATTAAAAATTTGGGCTAAAATTTAATGGCCCGTTTTCTTTGCGAGTGAGTGTTTATCTTATTTAAGCTCTGTTTCGATATATAATATACACACACACGCTGGATACTTTTACTCTCGTAGGAACGTTTCTTATTTTTTATATTTTTTTATTCTAAATATTACGTTCATGTTTTTAATACTATGTTACTATACCGTGATCTAGCAGCGTCAAGTGTTTTTACATGAAAAAATTTCCTATATAAATTAATTTTTTTCGTTTTATTGTTAGTTCTTTTTTTTTTTTAGTAACACTTGAATTGAGAGATAACGCAATTTTGTGATATAATAATTTCTTTTAAGAACTAAAGCCATTTGGATTCGAATAGGAAGATCCTTGAATAAGAATGCAAAGATATATACTTTATAGGTTTCATTGTATAAAAATTAAAGATAGTATTACTTGGATTATATTTTTTATTTAATTTAGTATGGGATTTAACTTGGCGCCAGTTTTGTTGATATCAAATCTTTTTTACGAATGATGCATATCATTAAAATTAAGTAAATGACAAAGATAGTACCACTTGGGTTTTACTTTTTAATTTGATAGAATTTAACTTGATTAGTTAAGACCGTAGCATATGGGTTTTAATTTTTCATTTGATACGTTAGTTTTTTCGAGGAGTAATAATTTTTGACAGAGAATTAAAGCTGCCATATTATTTAGATTGGAATAAAAAGACCTTCAATAAGAATGTCTTTGAAGAAAAATTAAAACTATACTATTAATAGGGTTGAACACTTAGATTTTATTTGATATATGTAAACGTCCTTGAAGGACGATTTCTTTAAGTGCTTCACGCAGATATAGCGCAGTAGTTGTACTGTGAGGACGAGTATCTTCCTACCTGCTTATTGTATTAGTAAATACGAAGGGTGTTCGTATTTACTAATTATAGTAATGATCTCAACGGACTTTCAGACCAACGAACACACGAAACCCGGAGATGCTGACAGTAGCAGTTGACGTTCAGTTATACAATTGAACGTTCGCTTTTACAGTATGATGCGAATTTGGATCGATGAGAATAAATCTAATTAAATAAAAGTGATCTTATTCATATCTTCTTATATTCGATTAAGGGAGATCTTAGTGTTTAAATATTTCTGTGTGAATTTATATACATATATACACTTGTCAACAAAATTATAGGTAAATTTATATCAAAATTTCGCATAAATTCAAATAAGCATAACTCCGCGAAAAATGATTGCATTTAAAAGTTTTTTTTTTTTATTTTCAAGGGTAAAGTCTGTACTTTATGAAGCTTTGAATGAATTTTGAATCTACCCTTACGTCTACCTGGCATCTTTTCAAAAATAAGGACGTGTTTTTTTTTAAAAAATTTGTATAGTTTGCACTCTACGGGGTGGAGTAAATTTTTTTCGTAAATGTCATGATAACTACCGTAAAGTATGGACTTTTCTCTTACAAATTAAAAAAAATTAAACTTTATATGATTTTTTTTCAAGAAGATACAGTGTATCAAACTTACCTATGCATTTCATTCAATTATTGCCAGCATTAGTATTATTCGATGGGCACTACAGTGAAGTTGCTAGTCCGATTTTGCGCGCGTTTGCATGTGTGTGTGTGTGTGTGTGTGTGTGTGAGGGGGGCAGGCGGAGATATGTGGGGGTATATTTGTTCTTAAAAATTGTGTATTTCTGCCTCGGATGACCTCTTGTAAACGTGCATGCACATTGATGCAAGCTCTAATTGAAGCCTGAGGAATTTCCCATCATATTTGATGCAATGCTGCTTCTAGTTGCTGCAGATTCGTTAGTTGTTCCTCTAATCTTCGTAGTCTTCTTCCCATTATATTCCATACATGTCAATATACATCAATGGGATTCAAATACGCGCTCATTGGTGGATGTGGTAGCATCTCGATGTTTTATCCTGATATAAGACAACACTCGCCCACATACCGCCAGAATTGCAATTAACTTCCTTGAAGAAAACAACATCGAGATTCTACCATAAAATCATTGGAGGTTTTGTACCTCTTATTTTCATTTTTACGTAAAAATAAATTCTTAGTGCAAAAATGAAAATAAGAGGAATAATCTCCAATGGCCTTGATTTTGATAAATGTTATCCAGGATATGATCCTGGACAACATTCAAGAGGTTTTACCCGTCGATTACACCTTGCGTAATGCTAATGCCGGCGGTACTGTAACTTTCAAGCCTTATAACTCGAAAAGTACTTAATGAAAAATAATTTTATTATAGTGTTTTGAAAAGCTCTTAACACCAGCTATTAAATTCTGGCATAAAAAGTAGGGTGTTCCATTTAAAAAATCAATTTGACCTTGACCTGATCTTAACGACGCCATTCAAGGTCAAATCAATGGCTTCTTATGTCTCCCTCCGAACCATACAACTTTTGTTTGAAACATTTTTCCGTATCTATCATAGTTTTCGAGAAATCTTAATGCATTATTTAAAATTAACATCCTGTATATATCCTGTGTAAATAAATTGTAAATAGCTCTGTATATAGAATCTTGTTCACGCCTAATCTACTCCTCATTCTCTGTGATCTCTGCGTTCGAACTTCCTCCGTCGAACTCGGCGAACAGTAAAGGCCGAAGGCGAAGGCCAGCTGCGTACCCGCCGCACATGCATACAATACACGAACCGCCATAATTTATTTAGTAAGGCAAAGATTTAATTAACAATAGCTGTTGGGGCCCCGTGAAATTCATTCGCACCGAGCCGATGATTTTCTATCGCGAACGCGTATCGACATGAGCATCGGAGATCAAACGGCCCTTTTCAGGGCCACCATAAGCTTTCCACAAATGGCGCTTTTCAGGGCAACCACCAAGCCTTATATAAACGGCCCTTTTCAAGGCCATTGCATAACATATACACAACTTTTGTCATTTGCGCCTGCCCTGCAGCGAATCCAAGCGACCCTGCGTGCGGATCTAGTCTAAAGAGCTTGGCGTACAGTAGAGGCCGATAGCGACGGCCGATTGTAACTCCGCTGTACCACCACAACAATATATCTCGCTATACAACGCATCCAAAACTTTTGCCTACGTTTCTCATACAATATCAGGAAATATGATTACCTATCCCCTTCTGTCAACAGTTCTAATTGGTTAGATATTTGTCAACGTTTCATTCCTGTGTTCTTGTTTATCGTATCCTTTGTACTAACACCCCTCCTTATTTCCGCAATCTTTTGTTCCTTAACCTTTAAATTGTCGGGAAAACCACTTTTGTGACTCTTGATGTGGGTTAAAATACTATTTTTGGTGGCATTTTAAATACTAATTGTATTAAACATATATAAGTGTATGTTGCTCAAAATATATAGAAATATATAAGTATTGAAAAATATACAAAATAAGTAAAAAATATAAAAAAGTAAAAAAAATTATAAAACAAGAAAAAAGTAAAAAAAATACAAAAATAAGTTTAAGAACCAAACAAAAAAGAAAAATCAAAAAGGAGCTATAAACTTTTTACGTCTATGTCGTTAGCTCTGGATAATGTTAAATAAAGAAAAGTTCTCTGCATGAGTCTATACGTTTATATTCATTTATGTTGTCAATATTACGTTTAGGGTTCGAGATTTCCTAAATCTATGCTCAGAATCAGCGATACCAAAAACTCCCAAATACACTATTTTTGAAAAAATAAATATTTTTCATATTTGTACGTTTCTTGTCGGGAAAGCCACTTTTGTGGCTTTGCAAAAATCTCGAAATTTTGCGTCACGTGTATGTTACTTTTATAGAAAATTTTTTGAGGAAAAAGAACCACTATTTTAATGAAAAAATGCCAGCAGTCTAAAGGTTAACTCCGAATTGCATTTCTCGGATACTCCCGCTACCCGTCAAGATTCCCTAGCTTTTCCTCGTCACCGTTCAGCTAAATTTCGTTTCGCTTTTTCCTATGTCGCTGTCAAATGTTTCAATTTATTGCCTATCTTCATTCAATCTTCCTCCTCACTGTCCTCTTTTCGCTTAGCCATGTCTTGATTTCTTTGGTCCGCTGGTCGTCATTTCTATGGTCGTATCATGTACACCAGTTCAAGCGCTGCCTCTTAGCTCCTCAAAAAAAAGTAAAAAAAAATTGTATTGTGTTATGCGATTATATTCTTCATTATATTTTGTGTTATTTATGCGCCATTTATGTGTTATGCGCTTAATTTTCATATAAATCTTATTATTTTGTGTTATTTTTGTGTTAATTTTGCGTTATACAATTATATATTCATAGGAATTTCATTATTAAGTCTAGTATCGTTGTAGCCTGTTATACTCTAATAGGCGTTGTAGCAGCAGTTTTGCTGGTGCCTCACCATTTTGCATACCTATAGCGTCTCAACTCTATTATTAACATCTGTTCTTCACTCTTAAACTGTAATTATTTATTTGTTACGCAAATAAATAAATAAATAAAAAATAAAAATAAATTTTAGTTCGTAGCCCTTTTTTTCTTTATTGCGTTTTTTAAATTTATTGAGCCATATTATTATGATATATTTTAATAAAAATAAAATTTTTTGCTATGGAGATTCGCTCATGTTTTTGTACATGTTCATGGTTTTCACACCTTTTTAACTATATAACTTTATAAGTATCATAAAAATAAGTGTATTAAGAGACGTAATTACACTATTATATTACACGTGAGCACTGCATAATTTAACTGAACAAAAAATGGACAATTACTTTTTTAATATTGTAAAAATCTCTTATAAAGAATATTGACCGATATATAGTATTACATAGTAAATTGCTTTAACTAATATTGCTCAGTTGTTACTTGGTATTATAAATAGTATTTTGGTATTATAAATAGATTTTGGTATTATAAATAGAAATAGTAATACTAGATGGTAACTGATTGGATGTTCAGTCAAACTACATAAATTTCTGCCAGGATTATAAAAGGACATCTAAAAATAATAAAAAATCTTACTTACCGGAGTAAAGTACTTAAAGTAGTTCGTCTGATGACACAGCATTGTAAAAGGGGTGCTAAAATAGACATTTCATCATGGAAAGGTTTTCCAAAACCTCTTCCATGGTCCAGATGTAATGTAAAACTATCGTTTCCAAAAATTCTAAATGTCTCATAATGATGGCGATCCATGTTGCCTGTTAAAAAGTCGAAGACTGCCATGTCCATAAGATCAAGCAATCGTCGACCCTCATTATACGGTGGAATTTCTCTTACCAGAGTGCAGTAATCGGAATCTGTAACAGAAGAAAAATTATGACGGAATCTGTAACAGAAGAAAAATTATGACGAGTGTCAAATCGTGATTAAATATTAAATGCGAGAAACGACACCATCTAGCGGCAGACCTAGAATATTAGAAAAATACAAAAATAGATATCAATTACAAACGGACATTTTAAGACTTCAGATTTGAATGTCCTGTGGATGTATGTAGGACATAATGTGAGGCGCTTATTTGATGGTCTTCAGGTGTTTAGGACATTTTTAGGCTCTTATTTATTAAGGTTAAGGACATTCTAAAATTTTAATCTTAAAGGGAACACAACCAACGGTCCCTCTGTGATTTAAATGAGCTTATAGTACGTTGTTCTATTGACAAAAATAATAGATACGTATTTTTTTATATCAGCTGAGTCTCACGTTAAAGGGGTGGAAATCTCCCTTGAAAAAAATCGGTCTTTTCTTTCGAAGCGAATATGAGCGAATATGATACCAACGCGGTATGAGACGAATACTTACGGAGCGCGTATATTGTAGAGACGATTTCGTTTATATCTGAAAAATGATTTTTCGGAATGTGATTTTGATACACATTGTTATTTTCAGCGTAAAATGCTCTTTGTTCGACAAATAAAAATTAAAAAATTTTTGAAAATAGGGGTGGGGTGGGGTACACAGTAAATAAATAATTAAAAAAATTTTTTTATTATAGTTATAAAGTATTCTTAAAGTCATTCAATTTTCATTGTAGAAAATTTTTTCTATCTCTTATAGTTTCGAAGATATTCGCTTTGAAAGAAAAAAATCGATTTTCTTCAAGGGGGATTTCCACCTCTTTAACGTGCGACTCAGTCGATATAAAAAAATACGTGTCTCTTATTTTTGTACAACATACTATAGTACAGCATATTATAAACTCATTTAAATCGGAAGGAAACCGTTGGTTGTGTTCCTTGTAGTATAATGTCCTAAACATATCCCGTATATGTCTCAGGATATTCGCAGGACGTATTTAGGATTATCCTGAGGATGTCTTGTGCTGTTAGAGTTTATTTGTATGTTGCGTACGTAACGCAGGTCACCAGCGTCACTCCAAAAAATTACACATTTGAGGATTATTCGTCTCATGGTCAATTGTCAGTTTGCTGTTAGATCCTAATCAATAAGTTCTAACTTTATCTCTTGCGTTTTACTTGTGTTCTTATTGACCGATCCTGTGTGTTCCCGCATTAATAATCGGAATCGAACTGAATATAAGCGGTATATCTTCTAATCAAGTTATCGCGTAGCTTCCGCGAGTAAATGGGTGCGTTCACATCGGACAAAGCTGCTAGCTTGTTCGTCGAGTGTTGAATGTGATTGGTTGGATCTATAAGTAACAATCAATCCGCATGTTTATTTGCTCGACGAGCAGGCTAGCCGCTTTATCAACTTGAACGCGTCCAATATTTCACGCGACATTTTCGTGTGAGAATATTTGAAGATTTCTGTAGTTCGCAATAAGATTTCGATGTGCGTTTAAGTGTACAGAAGATTTCTGTTTTGTCTGTGTCAAGATTTTCGATTCGCTCACGCGTTGAAGATTTCCGTTTCCGTGTGCATCCAAATTCCAAATCTCTTCATAACGTGCATATAGCCATATCACTTGACCAATTAATTAATTTAATTGGTGAGAAGCCTAACAAATAATTTTGAAGTCGTTATTTAACAGTAATTTCACCTTGGTATGCCAGATAAGATATTATGCCAGTACAGCATTAGATAAAAATGTAGATCAGGGGAGTAACGTCCTGCAGTTAAAACTTCCTCAAGGTAACTCGGGGTCATGACCTTGATAACATATGTCAAGGTCATTGGGGGGCTCCCCTGACCTACATTTTTACCTAACATTAAACATAGATAATAAGAAATAAAGAAGAAGAATGCAAAAAAGGAATATTTACTTTAACTGTAACAATTTTATTGTAGTAATAAAGAAATAAGAAGAAAAAATTTATTTTTTTAAATTCAGTTTTTAGATTTCTGCGACATTTTTCTAAGAAAATAATTGTGTCTTACCATGTTCCCATTGGGCCTTCTTCCGTTTATGATAACTTCTACGCCAAGGATGCCGCCAAGCCTTCCTAGCCGCAAAAGTTTTATCTGGTAAAAAGGCGGCGAAGCTACCCTCTAAAGTATCGGGACTGCCGCAAACAGCATGTGCTGTATCGCAATAATAACTACATTTGCCGTGGAAGCACAGGTTACCGGCCGGACTCACGAAGAACGTTTTAAGCAGTTCACTGTCGGCAATCTGGTAAATTTCCGTTGTAACATTAAGAGTTCGACCATTCACCGGCATCGCTCTGCGAAATCCTAAAAGCCTGCGAGCCAAAAACAAAAGATATAAAAAATTTTAGATTATTAAATTTGCGTGAATTATAAAATTAAAAATTTTATTCTTCATAGAATTGTGTTACTCATACATATCCTTATATTTGAATAGAGAATAGGAGATTGTATAATCAAATTGAAAGCAAAATTTGTAAATTTATTAGTTGTGTTCTCATATGTACGATCCTATAGATTAAAAATTGTTTATTTACGTCATTAAAATTGTTTATTTAGGACGTAAAATTGTTTATATTATGCCCAAAATAAACGTTATTTCTACATATGCTTATTATTGCGAAGAATATTATTAAGGCCTCAGTAGTTTAAAGGCTTAGGACGTTCGCACGGAGTGCTAGAGATCCGGGTTCGACTCCCGACCAATGTAATATTTTTTGCAATAAGAATTAGTTATTTACAGATTTTATTATGGCATTCAGCATTATTAAGATCATTCTAAGATGCGTAAGAGCATCGAATTGTTAAATTGCTAGTCAATTTAACTCGTGATATTAATGCGGTAGTTCAGTGAAGTTTACATTTCAAGACTGAAAAATTATTTCGGTGCGCAAAAGACTACATAGTATATAAATTCACAAACATTTAAGGGGGTAAGCCAGAGTAAAATTTAAAAGAAAATGAAAATTATTTTTACATTTTTCGAAAAATTGATGTCTTAAAAATATCTCTTAAAAGGTTTTTTTTTATGAAATTCAAAGTATTTCTCGAGTTATGTGAGTTCTAGCGAACGGGCGTGTAGTGCTGAGACACGCATCTTTAAACTTTAAAAATGTTTTTCTCAAAACAACTTTTTTCAACTAGCGGTGTCTATAACTCGAACAATTTTCGACCGATCGGCCTCAGCTTTGAACAGTAGCTTCACAAAACGAATAGTTTCAGTTAAGAGTAGGGATGTTTTTTAATTGTTAGTTTTTGAAGGGCGAAATATTTAAGATGTTCAAAATATAGTGAAATTAAAAAAAAAATTTTTAAACCGCTGTCATTTTATAAAAAAAAAGTTATTTTAAAAAATCGCTACGCTTAACTGAAACTATATTCATATAGATTCGAAATTTTCAAAAAACTTTCGTTTCAAATAATTAAAAATAATTATTTGAGTTCTCTACGTCGCCGATGGACCTTATTTTTTGAACACGGAAGTCTACCATGCTGTGCAACATTGTCATATATTTATATTTTGACATACAAAAACTCTTAAAATGTCTACAAAGTGTGCCGAATTGATGTTTTGTTCTTATTTTTCAATCATTTTCTTAACTCATATTTTTTCTAAGACTTATAGTTATTTTTAAAAAATGACAAAAAAGACCTTTTTTAAAGTCTTTACTCTGATATATCCCCTTAGATCCAGCTAGATCATTAAAGGCATTTATTTTCTACTGGTTGAGTTCTCACATGTACTATAAATTTAATATTGTTTGTAAATTTATTTCAGGGAAGAGGAAAATGGACACAATTTAAGTATTATTTAAAGTATATGATCTAAAGTACTATCCCACTAAAAATAGCAGTTCTTCTTCAGTAAATCATCGGTAGGACAACTTGCGTAATGCTAATGCCGGCAATATTGTAACTTTCAAGCCTCATAACTCGAAAAGTACTTAATAAAAATAAACTTAATTACAGTGTTTTGGAAAGCTCTCGAGATAAGTTACAAGATATGTAATGAAATGTAATGAAAAATGGGGGGTCCTATTTAAAAAATCCAAAATAACCTTGCCCTGACCTTGACAACGCCACCCAAGGTCAAACCAATGGTATCATCTTATGCCCCCCTCCAAACCATACAACTTTTGTTTGAAACATTTTTCCATCTTTACCATAGTTTTCGAGAAATCTTAATACATTATTTAAAAGGGTACAATATGTATATTATCAAAATCATGACTCTGAACAAGCTCACATCGTCTCTAGATGATCCAGAGGGCATCCGTATTGCGTAGTCATAAAGAAGTTGTGACTGGTGATGCCCCCAATCATAGAGAATATGGATCCTCAATTGTTAGATTAGGAACCCTCTCGCCATAGAGAGAAGAGGTGTGATTCCTCTATATAGTCGTCTCTTTGGATTGACGGGATTGACGAAAAAGGGAGAGTCACTGAGAACAAGATGGCCCGAGCAATCAAAAAGTTCAGAGGCCGACCAAAAGCCTTCGATCCTGATGATGTGTCCGGGCGAGTCTGAGCTTTGCTCTCAGCTGGGTAATGGATTGAGTCATATACGAGTTGCCTGAAGGAGGGAATCTTCCTCCTCGAGAGTGAAAGAGGGCGGGGCTTGTCCTTTTTTCTAAGGAGAGCAGACTGGCGAAGAGTATTTCTGTGTATAGACTAATCTGCCTGTTGGATGATGTGGATAAAGTGTTCGAAAGGATATTTGTTCTCATTGTTTAAAACTTATCCAAGAATGGTCACTTTTAGCAGGGCAATATGAATTCCGAGAGGGATGAACACAGTTGACGCTATTCGTCAGGTCTGCTTTGTCTTGGAATTAAAGAGGAAAAGGTGGCACTGGAGATGTCATTAGATATTGTCAACGTTTTAACCTTCTCTTGAGACCAAATAGGGGTGGCGATGAGATATTATTGTATGCCCCCCTACCTGGTAGCCATTGGAGAAGATTTTATTACTTCTGGGATAGGTTATTATTGGAGTTCTGTGACAAGAGTTAACTCTAGCACAGAAGGGAAGCATCATGCGAGGTTCCACAGGAGTTGGACATTTTTTATGGAATCTTAAGTACGACGTTTTCCGTACCGCCCTTCCTACTGGCTGTGTTGAGACAAACTAGTATTGACCAGGGGAAGTTATTAGAAAAAATCGATCGCCACAATCAATTAGGCTATAGCCTGTGCTGTACGCTCCATTGAGAAGTTGGATCTGGAGATGGCCTTGCATGAACCCGAAGCCTCTTCTTTCACAACGTCTTACCTCTGACTCAGATAATGGTAGGGTTAATCTATGTTCCAATAGGTCCATGACCAAATATTTGAGCCTCACGCTGGATGGTCAGTGGGGGTTCAGCTGAGATATCTCGAGCTGTTGATTCCCAAATTGGGCACAACGGTTGATGCGTTAGTAATACTACTATTCAATATAAGAGGTTCGGACACGGCAAAGAGGCGGCTGTATGCAAGCATCGTCCTGGCCTGAGTTATATGATACTCTGGTTTGGATGAGGGATGCAGTGGCCAATAACCTCATGAATAGCATCCTATTCGGCGCACAGCGTCAAATTGCCCTTCACCTCGCCCATAAGTACAGGAAGATGTCCTATTCGGCGGCCACAGCCCTAGCCAGACCTCTCTCTCCTCCTCTGGCAGATTTACTTCTCGGTGCTTATGCCAAGGCATACAGGCGCGCAAAAGCAATCCGCTTGAGGCGGAATGTTCTTGTCACGAAGATCGCAGAGATTATACCCAGTAAGCAAAACTTATTAGTAATCATTACTTCAACGTTATTACAACGATCAACAATAATATATAACGTTTTCAAATATGTTGTATTTAACATTATATACAACATCATTATGAACAATTTTTGACTGTAATTTGGAGGTTTTTATAATATTGATATTCTATTATAAAATAAGGTAATTATGCAGTATAAGGGACCATTCTTCAATGACCTTGACCTTGATATATGTTGTCAAGGTTATGACCCAAGTGATCTTGAGCAAATTTTAACCGTCGCTTGTTGCTCGTTAAAAAGTTATTAACAAAAAAAGTTCTTCAATAAAACCTAACTTTTGGACATAATTGCGCTCCGATGAGACAAATTCCCTGCTTTAACAGCGCAAAATATTTTTTTATATAATTTGTGTCTTTAGAGCACAGAGAATTTGTATTTTTAAAGCAGAGAATATCCAAAAGTTAGGTTTTATCGAAAAACTTTTTTTGTTAATAACTTTTTAACGAACAACGAGCGACGACTAAAATTTGTTTAAGGTCACTCGGGGTCATGACCTTGACAACATATGTCAAGGTCATTGGAGGATAGTCCCTTATAATTACCTAAAATAATATTATAAATAATATTGCATTAATATTGAATCAATATCTCAAAAATGTTGAATTATAACATAATACAATGTTGAAAAAAACACTGCAAAAACGTTCAGAAGTGTTCGTTAAAGTAACATCTTACAGACGTTGCAATACAATATTTGAGAACATTAATTCAACATCTATTTAACATCATATAAATTTGCAAGAATACTAGGTCCTTGAATTAATTTTTACATAAAACTAAACAAAATATTTTCAAAATATGTTTTATTTGTTCTCATCTTGCCCTTGGGTCACCTTCTAAAAATCATTTCATTAAAATATGAGTGAAGAATTTTATAATGCTATATATGTCTTTTATTTTATTCTATATGTAATTTTTAAATATACGAGAAAATTACTCTGCCAGTTCATCTCCACTGTCCACATCCAACATTCACATATCTACAAATCATATTGCGTACTATTCCCGAATAAGTGACTTTAATCTATTAATTCAACTTGCAAGATTAGGGTTAGCAAAGCTACGCTGGATCTATTATGCTAATATACAATATTATTAATTAAAATATTTAATCCAAATGTTTCGATCATTTTGTGATTACCATATTAAAACATCGAAACGTTTGGATTTTTAATATTTTAATTAATAATATTGTATATTAGCATAATAGGCCCAGAGTGGTTCTGCTAGCTCTAACCTCAAGTTGAATTATATTAATTTAGAACCTTATTGTGACTTCTAATTAATTTGTTTAATCTATTAACTTGTTCAGTATTGTTTCAACGTTGTAATAATATTGATATAATCAATATATGAAAACTCAACAAAGATTCAATGTTGAAAAAACATTCACATGTCAACATTTAACATTGCAATGTCTCAGTAATGTTTCTTTCAACATTCTGTGCTAGTTACAAAATATTCGAAAGAACCCTACACAAAATCATAGAATTTCGGCCCTCGGTGAAATTGGCTGAAATTTTAGTATGTTATAGACTCACTATATGTTTTTGACTCACTGATCAAAAGTGTCCATAAGCACAAAGCTTGAAAATAATTAGTTTTTTTTGTTATAACTATTTAAAGTTTTATTTTATTAATACTTCAAAATCAAGTTTCTGTAATAAATTAAGAGATTTTAGATAATAATATGCCATCCACTCTCACCACCTTCACTCTCCCACATCTCCACCCCACCCTCACACACATACGCCTGTGCGCATATGTTTATATAAAAAAGGTGCATAAAAAGTAAATCTTTTTTATTACGCTCTTGTGTGTGTGCGTGCGCGCGTGTGTATGTATGTATCAATGGTATGTTTATGATTTTAGTTATTCGCCCGTTCTCAGAATTACTCAGAATGAACGACGTGGACGTAATAAACGTTTCCTTTGGGGTTGATTTTGAGTCCCCTTGCCTCTCACGTTGGGATACAAAAAAAAAAACAAGGAGAAGAGGAAAATGAATTTTCTATTCTGTGTTGTTATCGAATTTCAGCAAGCACCCGATATTTTTGCACACGGTGCTTCATGCGCGGAAACAAACATTCGGGTTATGATAATCAAGCATCTCGCACGTGAGAGGTAAGGGACTCATGCATTTCAAATGTGTGAGAAAAGTAAAAGTCTAGCAAAATCTAAATACATGATTATAAAAGATTTACTTCGATTTTTATGCTACTTTTTTTATATAAAATTACGCGCGCGGGCGTATGTGTGTGGGGGTGGGGGTGATGGGGATGAAGTGAGGGGGTGGAGGGAGTGAGGATGAAGGTGGTTAGAGTGGATAGCATATTGTTAAAATCTCTTGATGTATTACAGAAACTTCGTTTGAGGCATTAATAAAATAAAACTTTAAACGGCTATAATAAAAAAATTAATCATTTTCAAGCTTTATGCCTATAGACACTTTTGATTAGTGAGTCAAGAACTATAACATACTAAAATTTCAGCCAATTACACCGAGGGCTAAAATCCTATGATTTTGTGCGGGGTCCTTTATATCGTTAAAACATTCTTTAAAGGTCCGGAAATATTATATTATTAGGTAATATTATAATCACATTTATAAAATATTAGATGGAATTCTTTGGTGGAATTAATATTTCAAAATGTTGATCTAATGTTTCCTACTTACTGGGTACGAAGATAGGCGCGGCTGCGGGCTTTCAGACTTTCAAGCTTCTGGCGCCCGGACAGTGTAGGCCATTCAGCCCTGTCTGCTGAAATGGGTAGAGAGGAAATGGGTTGACTTACCGCCTCACACAGATACTCACTAGACATGGGTGCTTCTGTGAGTACTTGCACAGGACTGGTAAAGAGCACACAGCATAATAATGCCACCATTGAGCGGCCGACCGAGACTCCCGCGCGCAGCATATATTCTGGTATCCCGCATGGGAGCATAGAGTCTTACAAGGAGAAGCCGCCAGTTTGTAATCATCGATTTTAATTAACTTTTTGAGGTTAGCAGTACTTGCTAAAATATGTGCTACAGTAAAGTCATTATTCAGTCATTCTGGAGAAAATGACGATAAAATATTTTCTGGATAAAATATTTCTCAGATTTCCTAGTCGCGCGGGACTTTTTATAATATTTAAATCTTATAATTTTTAATTGTTATATTCAATTTTTAAGTCGTTCTTAGTTACTTAATATAAGAATTATTTATTGTACTTAATTATTTAATATAAAATTAATTATTCATTGCAAAAAGTGAGGGAATAAAATAATGCTTTCATAAGAAATTAAAAATTTCTTTATGGATACAAAATATCCCCAACAGCAAAAGTTGCAGCAATATTCCTGCAACATTATTGTAACGTGTAATATTACTGCAACTTTTGTGCTATTGGGGTATACTTATAATAAGAATTTACAATGACTGTTTTATAATAATTTCACAATTTTTAGAGTGGTATTTAGTGTATAAACAGCGTTAAAACATAATGGTTTGTTGTACATATAATTATTGCTATTACATTAGCACAACCTTGTTTTAATAATAAAATCTGAAAAACAAACATTTTTAAATAAATTTCCTTTTTCTATTATTTTAGATGCAAATCAGGCATGTTTTAGCATGTCACATAAGACTGGTGCGCTTAACTGATTGTGAATTAAAGAGTGTATTTTAATAGCATCTTTATGTTTGGTTAGTTTTCTATTACTTTTAAGGAAATATGTACAATCATCACCTACAAAAAATTCGTTGTATATTTGAGAATATGTTAGAACATCTCATAAATCTATTATTAATACAAACTTTTCACTTTTTACTTATGGCTGTAATATTTCTATCAAAAAATCTTTATAAATATTTGTCTGAGAGCGCATCAAGAACACGAGTGAAGAACGAGGACGATAAATGGAGTTTCAAACATCACAAAATAAAAACAGGTTGAATTTTTGTTATTTCACAATGTTATTTCACAATCAGAACGCAATTTATTCAAAAAGAAAAAGGCAAACAAAATGTATATTGTACAGTATGTTAAAAACAACCATTCAGGATTTATATAATAGGTGGTACACGCCAAAAAAACCTTAGTGAACATAAATTGAAAGTTTTATCAACTTTTTAGTACTGCATTTCCTTATTTTTACCAATATGAGAAAATACGGTTTTAAAAAATTTTGAAAAAATTTTCAGAACTTTATGAGAAAAAAATAAACAATTTTTGTCTCTTGACGTTTTTCTGTAAAGTTGATAGTAATTGAGTAAAAAAATTATTGAAGACTGTGCAAGCGCCAGCACACAGGCAACCCGCAATACAGAGACCGGTAAAAGCCGCCTTTCTCGCAAGCGCTTCGCGGGCCCACTTTTCTCATGAACGCTTGCGACCTGCGAGTATCGCGACTCAGCCCCCAGGGGGCTGGCGCGACGACCGCGAACCCGCAATTCAAATCCGCCCAGCGGGGCATTTAAGGCCCGCCGAGGCGAAGTCGCTTTGCTCAAGGCGATTTCTCGAGACGGATTTCAATGTAGTATACTCCCTGTTGCAAATTCTTACAAGAAAAATTCTTGTGAGGTCTTCCAAGAAAATTTTCACATACGAATTTCAGACAGGAACATACAAGATTGTATAAGAATATATCGCATACGATATTTATAGGTAAATCAAGAATCTTGCAAGAATTTTACATCCATGTTACATGAATCTTATAAGCATGTTACATAACTTTGACATGCATGTTACATGAATCTTGCGTGCAAGTTACGTGAATCTTGCAAGAATATAACTGGAGTGTCATTATGAAAATATTACAAGAATACTATTGGAACGTGCGTAACTGAAATACACTCATGAATCCGAAAGGCCGGACAAAATCTTTCACTAAAATTTTCGCATAATTAATTGCGATAGCGAAAGCAAAAGCGAGAGTCTAAAATAATGCGAAAGTCTCGCTTTTGCATACGCAAAAGCGAATTTTCGCACACCCCTACTTACAACTTGATCAAACCTTACTATAACCATTATCCAGATAACCAAGCGTGCGATATTCGTACAAAATACCACTACCATACTGTTACGATACTGCCACGAGATGGCGGTGTACGACATAACTGTACGGTAACAGTACAAAAAGTATACATGATATTATAGTACACCGTGTCAACATTGTACTGTTTGGTACATCATCGATACGTAACTACAGTACCGTATCAATATGGCGTAGGGGAAACTGGGCGAATTGTGTGCACCTAAGGAAAATTTATTGTCTTGGAATATTTTTCCAAATTTAAAACGATATAAGTATGGAAATAGATACTATAAACATTCTTCTACCATTACGTATCCTTGTACTAAATAAATTTTCATTCAAAAAATTACAATTTTTTCTCTGCAGTTATCATCTCTGTTGATAATCAAACTTTGACAATAACACTGAAATTTTACAATTTTACAGAAAAATCGAGTATTATTAAATTTTAAATGCATATACACCGATACAAATCGTCTATTAAACTAATAAATCATAAAATTAGTACAATATGCTATTATCAGTTTTTTGTGCTTAATCATTTCAATATTAACAAGAACGCGAACTCCCGTAAGGATGTCGGTTTTTAATAGTATCTCGTCAGTGTCTAAACCATAGACATATAAGATAGACCCAGCATTAGCTATACATACCTGAGTTTAGCAGAACGATGCGAGAGGCCAAATATTGGGACAACCTATCCTTCTCTGTGCACGCATCTTGACAGTAAATGTACTTGGTAATACTCAAGAATTCTACCTTCCTCACCGATTTTGACGAAATTAAGCTCATTCGATGTGTTTTTTTCACGAAATGAACAAATGTGGCAAAAAAAAGTGACTCTGTCCCGTAGACCGAGATATTAATCGTTGAAGTTAACGACTATTCAGGTTAGGAAATCTGTCACATCGATGGCATAGAGACATGAGAACATATAAGTGAAGCTAGAATAAATATTTTTTACTCTAATTTCATCAAAATCGGTGAAGAAGGTAGAATTCTTGAGGATTACTTATTTTTATATCTTCTTTTATTCGTTTCAGTAATATAAATGTCAAGATGCGCGCGCAGAGAAGGATAAGTTGCCCCGATATTTTGCCTCTCGCACCGTTCTGCCAAACTCAGCATAGGTATACTATAGAAAAATATATGGGTGCTGGGTCTATTTTATACGTCTATGGTCTAAACGTATATTTATAAATAATAAAATGTTTAATATTACCTGTCCAGATGAAAAGATGCGATTTCAGCGGTATGCCTCTCGAAGTCTGTGAAGTAGAAATGATTTGGCAATGTCTGTTGTTCTCGCGGGAACCTGTGGGATGAAAACAACTTTATTATTATAAAAAAAAGAAATATTATACAGAGTGTATCTAAAATAACGTACACTGATCATACAGTGCTATTCCTAATAAAAAACTAAGTCGAAAAGTCCTTTAGCATTTTGCAATTTTCGCAATAGTTAACAAGATATTAATTATACAAAAAATCGCTGAATATTGGTTTTCAATAACTTTTTACTCAAATACTATCGACTCTACAAAAAAACTGTTAGAGATAAAAATTGTTTATTTTCTTCTAATGAAGTTATGAGAATTTTTTCAGAATTTTTTAATACCGTATTTTCTCATGTTTGTAAAAATAAGAAAATGCAATACTAACAAGTTGATAAAAAATTCTGAAAAAATTCTTAGAGTTTTATGAGAAGAAAATAAATGATTTTTGTCTGTTGCAGTTTTTCTGTAAAGTTGATAGTATTTGAATAAAAAATTATTGAAAACCAATATTCAGCGATTTTTAGTAATTAATATCTTGTTAACTATTGCGAAAATTGCAAGATGGTAGAGAATTTTCGACTCAGTTTTTTATTAGGAATAGCACTGTATGATTAGTGTACGTTATTTCAGATACACCCTCTATATACAAAGAATAGTTAAATACAAAATGAAGATTTATAATTTCTTAATTAATAAGACAAACAATAATGAAGAAAGTGTACTACTCTGTGTTTTAATTTAAATACTTCTTATTATTATCATGTTTTAAAAAGGTTAAGTGAATATATGCAATAGTCTTGAAGCAGTCTGTAAAATCGTAGAAGAGTATAAATGAGACTTGCGTGTATGATATTACAGGTATTATCATAAATTGCTATATTACAGAATTAAGGTGAATTACGGTATTAATCGATCGATATCTGTCGCGTGACTTTGTAACCATTCTGTTTATTGCGTAACGCAGTAACTGCTTGCTGCTATATCCACTAGATTACCAATAACAGTCAAATTTCATATTACGTAATTTGAAAAACTGTTTCATATAAAAACTATTTTATAGAAAAGAAACAAAATTTTTGCTTTTATAAAAAAAATAGTAGAAATGTAAAGAGCGTGTAATCTTTGTCAAAAAATAAAGATTATAAAATTTTGAATATTTCATAAAATTGTTTATTTACTTATTTCATTCATTATATACACCTCATTTCTACTAATAATTTGTAATACATTCTATATAGCATATGATTATTCATTTAGTAGATGAATTAAATTATAAAAACCCAAGTGGTACTATCTTTATTGTACCAAGTTAAAAACTCAAGTGGTATTATTTTCATTATTTATTTAATTCTAATGATATGTACCATTTATATAAGAGATTTAATTGATATCAATGATTGACGTCAAGTTAAATCATATACTTTCTTTTTCGACCAAAATAGTAATAGTTATTTAATTCTCCTTCAAAATATGATTATAACATACAATTGCGTTACCTTACTCAATTCAAGTGTTACAACAAAAAATTAAAGTAACCGTATAAAATAAAAAAATTTAATTCAAATAGAAAAATTTTTTACGTAAAACGCTTGACCCTGCTAAATCTCGAAATATAATACAATATCGTTATGAAAAAGAATAGTAAACTTTATTCAGTGTAACATTCAAATTATATAGAGAAAAAAGTGGTATTAATAGTGTCCGAAATATTTATTATTTAGGACACTATTAATAAAATGTAGCGACATTGTATAATAATTCGAAGAAAAATATGAGTGGTAATGTGGCCTTCCATAAAAATAGCGTTAAAAAATTAGTTTTGTTTAGAAAACAGTAATTGATTACAAAATTAACAAAAAAATATTTTAAAATGTATGCAAATAAATGTATATACATTCACGCAACTTCTGCATATAAGCAATCTCAGTACTAAAAATCTCAGTGTACTAAAAATAGTACAGTCAGAAGCAATGAGGTTGCGATACTTTTTTTTCGGATGAGTTTAAGAATACGCGATCAAATTCAAGATGCGAATCCCTCTCTTGTGCAATGAATGAATATGATCATGTGAGATTTGTCAAATGTCTATACAGGCTGTGTTCCAAAATTGACTGCCAGTACTGAAAATCTATAGTGTACGTAACGTAAACTGTAGCATTTTCTGTGCTGGCAGTAAATTTGGAACACAGCCTTATACAGCAATACGTGATCACGACGTCATTTTTTTTCTCATTGTGTTCACACGCATAGGCTATTGTAGCACGTGGTAATGAGATACTACAATTATATTATATATATTATTATATTTAAATTAATAATCAATTAATAATTATTAATTCGTAATTTATAGCACTTTATAAATTATAATTCTTAACTCGTAATTATAACTCGTAATTTATAACTCTTTATAACACTTTCATATTTTAAATGAAATAAATACACAATATACAACATAATACATGCACACTATTATATAAGTAAATACAATAATACATAAGCGGTCTTCCAATCTTATTATTGTTTATACACGCGCGCCGAAAATGCGTAACTCTCTTTACATATCGATTATTGCGAAGAATATTGCTAAGGTCTCGGTAGTCTAAAGGCTTAGGACGCTCGCACGGAATGCAAGCGATTCGGGTTCGACTCCCGGCCGAGGCATTATTTTTCGCAATAAGTTTATTACAGTTTTTAAGTTGAGAAATTTGGGGGGATTATTAATATTTCAGATTTGATTGCGTTGAAAGTCCAACAACCATATCGGCACGCAATTATAATTTCTGAAATTAATTCATTTAAAATGAATTTAGAATAGTTCAACATTTTAACATTCAGACCGTTAGTGGCGCTTCTTAGTTTAAAGTAATTTTTTTAAATTTTTTGTCCGCCATATTGGATCCGCCATTTTGACTTCAGATTCGTAATCAGTGACCCAAAAAACCTCTCTCGGACTTCATTTTCGGCTAATTAGCTATTGTTGATTAGTCACAATCACATTTATTATTAAAAAGGGATGAATTTTTCCAGTTTGTTTATTTATAAAATACATTTCGTCGACAATAGGAATGTGTTTCCACGGTTTTTTTTATAACAACTGATGTTCTACAAAACTAATAATGTTCTTTTCATTGTAGTAATATGTTAGAAACTGTTTGAAAAACTCAGGTAAAAAGTGACATATGTATATGTAGGACACTGTGTCGCAAAGGGTTAAACGAATAAGTGAATTCAAATAAACCTTTGCACGCATATTTATTATTGTTTAATCAGTATATATTCAAAATTTGATTTAATTTCAAATGTTACTTTTTTATCAAATTTACAAATGAGTACTACAAAACACGATTTTACATAAGAATCAAGATTAACAAAAAATTGAATAACATTTAAACCAATAAGTGAATTGTATTCAAATTTTTACACAAATATTCAGACGTAATAGAACAATCTAAGAAATTTTTATATTTTTGTTTTATTAATGTTTTATTAATGTTTTAAAATGTGACATGCATTCTTAATTCCGCAAGCTCTGATTGAAATCCTACAGAAGGAAGTCTATACTTTATAGAAATCTATTTATTCAAGCATCCGATTTGAGACAATTAACTCTAAATTTTAACTATTATATTATTAATGTTGAATACTTTAAATCTGGACTATGTTATTCTGTAAAATATATAGAGCTTTTTCCATAAAATAGCAATTTTCGAGATTTGACATATTTTTATGTCTAATGTCTTCCTCTTTAAATATTATTACACAAACCTTAAGGTCATGAAACAAATAAGTATATACAATATAATTATACAAAGAATATCATAAAGAATGCTTTTATTCTTCTCCTGAATTGAGCAAATTTTGTCCGAGCGAATAATGGGAATTTATTGCGGCCAGCTCACCGCTTCGCCGAAATTTTCTACTATGGAATCGCTAACTTTTAGGGGAACTTATTGGCGAACTTATTACCAGAGTTTAAATCGCGCGAGCGCCAACCACTTATCGTAGAATCTTCGGCCTAGTTGAAGTTTAAAGGGTTCTAATCTCGTGTGGACCTTCAAGAAGGAAAAATAGATATGTAGATATATAAAGATAAAAATAAAGGTAAAAATAAAGATAAAAATAAAGAGAGAAAGAGAGAGAGAGAGAGGGGCGGAGAGAGAGAGAGAGAGAAATACAGAAAGAAAAGGAGAGAGTAAGGAGGAAAGAATCTCAATACAAGATGCGTCTGAAAATTTCTTACGAATATTACATTGTCGCTGTTTTACTACTTATCATCATTAACGTAACCACAATAAACAAATTATAATGGTAATTGGCTCTTTGAACTACGTCAAATAAATAAACAATAAAAGAGCACAAAACGTAGATTGTTGTTGCACGATTTCTATTCTAACTACTGTAATAGCACAGTATATTGGTTATACATTGGTTAAAATTGGCTGGATATTGGTTATATCGGGGATAAACCAATATTTCCCAATGTATAATGCCAATATTGATTATATAATAAATATATACACTGAAAAAAATTTACTGAATTTTGATAAATATTTCTTCAATAGTACTAATGAAATATTTACTTTCAGAAATGTAATAAGTAATTAGTCAAAATAAAAAAGTTATGTTTAAATCAAATAAATATATGTTTATATTCAGTAAATATTTATATATTATTTATTTATATTTATATTAATATTATTGAAACAAACATTTATTAAAATTTAGTAATTCTTTTTTTCAGTAACCAATATTTAATTGTACAATATTTATATTGGCTTCACGTTGGACATACATTGACTAGAAGATTTCCCAATGTAATGCCAATATTGGTTACAGAGGAAATTCTAATGCATCGTCAATGTTACATGTCAATTACACGACGACTATTAGAAATACAATGGGGATAGATTGGCCCATGTTTATAACATACATGTATAAATATAATACAGTATAATGTATAATAGAATACTACAATATAAATATAATATAATATAATAGGGTACTAATTATAGTTTTAAAAAAGCCGCTTTTTTCAAAT